GAGGTTTATATAATTTCCTCAAGACTGATAGTACTAATTGAAATTCCTCATGGCCCTTCACTTTTTGTTTGTATGGATTATTATGTATAAAAAGACATCTATAATGTTTCAGTATGGACTCACACCTGAATTAACATCTTGTGTTCCTGTCCTCTCGAAAGTTTCTTAACATTGGAGATTGTAGGCAAAAAAATTGTAATTAGAGAGCCATGTTGTTGCACTATATGTTCATTTTCAAGAATGAGAAGCTAATTCAATAGGTGGTCAATTTTCTTTCTTTTTGATTAAAAGTTCAATAATAGCCACATGAAGGAAATGGTTATTGCACAACTTCAATGAAACATTTCTGAGAATCAAAGAGGCTTTCTAGTCTCTTCACAAACAAATGATACTTTGTTCTGCGACCAAGTTCACGGTCTTGGTTCTCATGACTTGGTGATAAGCTAATTCTACAAGAGAGAGAATATGTAAAACCAAATATGTATTGCAATCTGACGCAACGATACGATTTGAAGAGTAAAAACTAACATAGCTGCTAATCATAAAGTTAGCAACAACTTATTCGCACCCAAAGGCTTGTAGCCACCATACAAAGATCACATTAATGTCTAATTGTTTACGAGAAGATGACTCTGGTGGGAATTGTCGATCAGGGCAACAAGGATTTTATTATTTAAACACCAAACATATTTAGACAAAAGACCGAGAGCGGGTGAGATAATCAAGCTGATGCAACAGCTGCTGAGTGCTTTTCGAGCTTGGCCTGGATTTCTTCTTTCGCAGCACCAACCACCTTATCGATGACCACTCCTTCTTTCATGAAGACGAAGGTTGGCATTGCCTCGACTTCAAACTCCTTAGCAACACTCTGCAAACACACAACAGGTAAGTTAAGACCAGAGGTTTTTGTTTTGATATTGAAGATTGTTCATTGTTGATGGAAACTTACGCTCATTTCGTCCACGTCGACCTTGAAGAAGACGACGTTAAGGAACCTCTTGGCGAATTCGACAAAGACGGGGGCGATGAAACGGCAAGGTGGGCACCATGTTGCAGTGAAATCAATCACGATCTGTGTGTAATTAGTTTCATCCAAAACATAAATTAATAATCAAAAGAAGAAGCTAAAATCGATAGATAATACAAACATAGATGCACAAAATGGGTTTAACTACGATTACGAAAAACGACGATTTTCATGAGGGTGAATTGAGTTTGCATAAACTTGAGGAACTTACACAGAACATGTTCATACACAAATGAGATTCGAAAAGTTTCGAACAATTTCATTCTATTTTTTTCATCACTAGGGTTTCAAATTTCCTAGATCCGGAACTTCTAGACTCTCAATCCCAATAATTAGGGTTCATAGTAATCCAAAACTCAATACGGGCATGGATTAGGTCATAATCTGGGTCCGTCGTACCCAAATCAGAAGGTTAAACATCAAGCCGATCGAACAAAAGAGAAACACAAAAACCCTAAATCCTGATTTTGAAATCGAAATCGGAATCGAGAGAGTACCAGTTTCTTGGATTCGTTGGCGGCTTTGAGCTTCTCGGTCCACTCCTGAACGTTGGCGCAAGTGATCA